ACACATTTTTAAAATATTGAGTTAAGATTTTTTTAATAAGCTGTCTGTAACTTCAAATTTACAATATTAACTGTTATTAAAATACTTTTGTTAATATTTATTCCAACGAATACTGATGTATATAATAAAGTTGAATGTATTAATGTATTAAATTATCAATAACTTAAATATTTGTTGTAATAATTGTGAAGGAACAAATTTTACATAATCAGCAATATATATATATATATATATATAAATATATATATATATATATATAGATATATATATATATATATATATACATATATACATATATACGCAATATACTCGTATGTATATATACTCGAAAACGGCTGGACCAAATGTTTTAATTGTTACAATTTTTCTCATAATACATAATGGTTACCAAAATTCAGAATTTTTTTGAAAAGTAGGATAATATTAACACATTTTCACTGAAAAAAATCATACTTAAATTTATCTCACAACCTAACGAAAATATTAGTAATATATTTTGAAACAAATCGTTTCATTCTTACCGTTTACAAACAAATACTAGATAAATTAATATTATATATAAAATTTATATAAAAAGTAATATTACTAAAAAAGCTAGATTTTGAAAAAAGTTTATCTGAAAATATCGTACTTAAATTTAACTCACAACTTAATGAAAATATTAGTAATAATAAATGAATTAAACTGTAAAATTTGCAGTGAATGTGAAAATTAAAAAAAACGAAATTATTAGTATTCGAAGCCTTTGCAAAATCACGATTTTTAAATCATAATTTTTGTTGAACATATAAATACTGTCAATTTGCAAAAAAGTACAAAAACATTATTAAATATATTTGCGTTTTTGAAAAAAGTATGTTCGATTCAAAGTTTTAATGAAAATCATTTATTACAAGTGAATTTTAAACGTAAATCAAGAAAATCTTACACGCATTTACGGGACCCAATTTTAGCAAAAAAAAATTAAATTTCTCACATTTTGGATATCTAATAAACACTTACTTCTAAAATTTTCCAATAAATTTCGAAAGTTCCGCATGAGTATATGCAATGTTTTTTTTCGAAAGAATCTCATAAGTCTTTAATGTGAATCTTATAAGTGTTCTGGGAATACTCATCCATCGGTCATTTTGTATAAGAAAAATAAACTTATTAATTCTATAAAAATACCAATAGTTTGATGCGTATATGTTGGAGAAAAAAAAAGTAAAATATTAAAGTACTAAAATTAGAACTTTAGTCATTTTTCGATTCTGAAAACCCAAATTTTAAAGGATTTTATCACCGTAAAATGGCTCCACTAAAAATAGGTTTCTTCAATTATTCATTAATAATCATTCATCAATAACAATTGATTTTACACATTAGTTTAAACTAATTAAATTAATTTAAAAAATTTAACACATATGCAGGAAAATTGAACGTTGATCTGTATTATATACTTTGACATAAATTATGCTTTTTATGAAAAGCCAAAAACTATATAAATACCTTAAAATTTACATTAGCAGAAGCAAAAAGTTGTAAAAATAAATAAATAGCATAAGCAACAAGTAGAAAAATGAAATTTGTTATGAACGTTAAAATCTATTTTAAATCTGCTGAAAATAAAAGTATGTATGTATAATTCATTCGACAGAATATTTTATGACAAAATTTGTATTATTTATAAAAGCATTTTTAATGTTTTAACAGAATTTTAAAACTATAGCAGAATTTTTTTTGGGATATTGTTAACGTATATTGAAATCCAAATGATGTGTAATAGGTTGTAATGTTTAAAAAAATCGGTGATTTGCGTTTATTAATAATAACATATTGATACATAATTAATTCGTTAGACGAATTAAACCGTCAAATTATTAATCATAGAGATAAAAGTGTAACAAGTTTCCAAATTAATCAAACAAAATATTCAAACAATGTTAATATAAAGAGATATTATGAAAAGATACGTTAAGTGAGAATGTAGTATTAATATAGAATAAAATTTAACTTGTTAATTTCAGTTTTCTCTCTTAAGAAAATTCATCCTACTTTAGCCGTTATTATAAACCTTGTATATTTAAAAAATCAACACAGCTGACATGCTTAATAGATCACTAACTCGAATGGCAAACAAAATGTGTTAACAGTTATGGTATAAATTTAGTTTAATACATTGCAGAAAAAGAAATTGAAATGATGTATTTAAAATGATTATTGATTGATTTAAATTTATATATATCATCAGAAATGTGATATCAGTGCATAATTAAAAAATTGAATCAAATATAGGCTATACATTATTACTAAATGCACCACTTCGAAACCAAAATACTTGTTAAAAACACAGTTATAGATCTGAGCTTATTTTTTTTGTAATTGATTGAATCATTACTACTGATTATCACAATTAATTATGTGGTTATTGCTTACAAAAACATAAAATAGTGTGTGGGTTAACTGTATATGATTTAGTATAAATATGTATTAACTAAAATATATACAAAACTGTGATACGATATACCTCTATTTCAGAGCCAAATATATTAATGTATCAAATATAGACTGTACGCTATTACTTTTATACAACTTTAATAATGTACCACTAAATGTTCAAAAACAAAACACTTGTTCAAAACACAGTTATAGATCTTCACTGATTTTTTTTTTTTTGTAATTGATAAAATTATTAATATTGATTATTACGATCAAATATCTGGTTGAAACTTACAAGAAATAAGCTCATTATAGTTTACAAAAATATAAAATGTAATGAGGTATTAACCATATATGATTTAATATTTATATTAAATGTATTAACTAAAATATATAGCAAAAATGTGATACGATATACCTCTATTTCACAGCCAAATATACTAATGTATCAAATATAGGCTGTACACTATTACTTTTAAATATCTTTAATAAATGTACTACTAAATATTCAAAAACTGATGTTAAAAATGTTAAAACCACAGATCTGAACTTATTTTTTTGTAATCGATCAAATTATTAATTTTAATTAATACGATTAAATATCTGGTTACTGGCTTGCAAAAGATAAGCTTGTTATAGCTTACAAAAATATAAAATGAAATGAGGTATTAACTGTGTATGATTTAATATTTATATGTATTAACTAAAATATACACAAAAATGTGATTCTATATACCTCTATTTCAGATTCAAATAGTCTAAAGTATCCGATTATAACTCAATGCATAAACTACCAAAACTTTGCTTACAAAAATATAAAATCCTGTGTAGGGTTAACTTAATCTTAATCTTGCATTTATTTCAAGATTTGTACATTTTCAAAATAAAAGTGTAGAATCAACTACTCATAAATTTGAATTCGAATTTTAAAATGTTTAATAGTTATGTTTTAAAATTTTAGACGCTTCTCATGTCTTGTAGTAATATCTATATTACTAATTATCTCATTCTACATACTGTAGATGTATATGATTTAGTATAAATATGTATTAACTAAAATATGCACAAATCTGTGAAACAAATATCTATATTTTAAAGTAAAAATACTAATTATAACTCAATGCATGTATACGATTATAACTCAATGCATGGTAGTTCGTAGTACTTCATTTCAATACAAACTAATATATTTGTAGTTTAGAAAGTTATTAAGTGTTTTCCCTATAATTAAAATGATCTATTATTATTAGAATTCACTAATTTATATTTCTTCCCATGCACAAGAACTGACTAATATGACTTATGAAAATATTCATCGAATCACAAAGAAAATTAGTTAGTCTTCAAATTTTAGTTAGATTAATGATTCATATAGATTTCATTAAAAACTAGGTTCAGTATATTATAATTATATAATAGTAAATATTGAGTTTCCAACTATATTACTTCATTTTGTATCAAATATATTTCTTGGTAGAAGAAAAAAAATAGTTTTCTTAGAAAGGGATGATGTATTCTTATGTTGCTTCCAAATCCATGAAATTTATACAAGATTCGTTCATAATTGGATAATCGTGTATACTTTCTGATCAATGTTTTCTACTTCCTCAGTGAAAGGGAATAGGGTATACTTGCACTCCATTTATTGAAGATAGTCTCAACTTTATTCTGACAACAAATTTTTGAATTTTGGATATTCTCTAACATATAAGTCTGCAAAAAATACTATTACCTATATTAAATCAATTTTAAGTAGGATTTCTAGCTTGAAAAACCTAGTTTATGCATACGGAAATATATTCCTTTTTATGTCTGAAACCACTAACAAATAAAAATTTGGTTTATAATGTTTATAAATATCGATCAGATTTCTAATAAGCTTTTTTATATAAAATAAGAAAAATTTAGTAAAATGAAAACATTAAACTTTAATAATATATATTTATTAGCACAAGACATGAGAAGCGTCTAAAATATCAAAACATAACTATTAAACATGTTAAAATTCAACTTTAAATTTATGAGTAGTTGATGCTACACTTTTATTTTAAAAATGAACAATTGTAAGTAATGCATGATTAAGAAATTAAAAATATGTGGTGTGTTTATATTTCAGAATGCTAAAAATTAGCACAAATTATACAGATAGATGAAAAAAATTAATTGGCTCTGTTTAAGTTGTATACTTGTCTAAAAATATCAGCTATAAAGTAGAAACTATTCTTTGAATAGGACCCAAAAATACGTTATAAATAGCTTGACAAAAAATAAATACTCCTTATAAAAATAATTTTTAAATATTAAATATGCCCCCAATAAATTACACATAACTGTTTCCTTATGTGTACGTAGATTTTATAACAGTAATAAACACATTTGACATAACGCAATTAGAAAAATGATTGACATTTATGTTATGACTCAGACGAAAAATCAATGACATTCTGTCTGATATTAGCTAAGGATTAGTCATTCTCAAGAAAGTTCGCACAATAACAATTGTGATAACATTTATCTGTTAAATGTACAATCTCATTGACAATTGAGAAAGGCCATCAAGATTTGAGGCTAAACATTACCTGATGTCCTAGATGGCAATGGGATTCGATTGCCACCTTTTCTTCTTGACCTACGGACGTAAGATCGCGAAGAGGTGAACGAAGCACTAGGCATTTTCACCAATAATATATTTTAACTAATTTCCATTAATACTGTCTACACAAAGAACACAATCGAACTAGCCTCTGCCGCCATTTTCTGTTTAGTTATATTATAAACACTACATATTATTTTGTTTTAATACGAAAGACTTGGGTATTTACAACTAATTTTTCAATCACTTTTGTTATGAAACTATTATCCTCATTCATAATACATTTGGAGAACTATTTATAGATTAATCACAATAAATATTCATTTTCATTCAAATACTTTCGCTCCGGGACAATCGTTCACGGCCGCACATAACAGCGACAGCCCATAGAAAACGACGTCTGCCCTTCTGAGGTTGGACACCGTGCAGCAAACTTCAACGGGGAAAATATCGATACTTTTTAATTCGGTATCGATATCGATAAACATGATATATAATTTTGATTGTATTTTTCAAATAAATTATGAATTCGATTACTTTTATAAATTATAGCTTTAAAATGAATATCTATCATGCAGCAAAGTTTTTGAAGTATATTCATAGTATATCTATTTGTCATTATAAACTTTGCCATCTATGGTACCTACTGCAAACTTCAGTATAGTGGTGGTATACAACTAGGCTGATTTTAAGGTTCATTCTTAATTTTTTGTTAAAACTGTTATTGAATAATTATTATTTAACAATAATAGTTGTCTGAAATTTAAAATTTGAAATAAAATTTAAATATTAAAAAATATCTTTTCTTATCAGAAATAGTTCAAACTAAACATGTAATAAAAATACTAGTAGTAAATATGAAAATTGTCAAATGAATTAGTTTATTTTTCGTTGACATGCACAAATTTACTCATTTATATACATGAAAATCCAAAAATAATAATATCCATTCACATGATGATCATCTGCATCTTCAGCTGCAGATCTGCACCTAATATCATTATATTGCTTTTGAACTTACTACATTTCATATTTCATAAATCGTAGAATGCTATTTTTGACAATTCCGAGGAACTGAATTTTCAATAAAATTTTTACATATAATTTGAATAGTTTTAAAACTTTTTGTTTGTATATATTACGATGATCTCGTATAAATTACGGAAAACACCAGTCCTTAATTTAAATCAGAATGTGAGATGAGTTTAGTTGAACAAACTGGTTGCTAGCGAAACAAAAGTATCAAAATATAAATTATTTTAAATTAACCTTAAAGGCGCTGCAAAAAATAGTTTTTTTTAGAAATTTTGAGTTTTTAAAGGAGTGTATATATAACTAAAATAATGGGTACTAAATTATCTCGGCCCATTTTAAATTTGCTTAACGAAATCCATGTCATTTTCGGTTGTGGATTGATTGGAGCATTCGTAGCAATATCAAGAGTAAAAAATGAATATTATTGGCGGTAAGTTCATTTATTACAATATTGTTAGCTAAATATAATTAATACAAAAATATATCTTATGACAGAAACAAAATAGAAAATTGATTAAAACTTTATTTTTGAGGTTATATAATTTTTTTATCACATTTTTGGTTTATATCTTTTACAAATGCATGCCTATACCTGTATATTCTTTATCTCGTCCATGTACAAACATTTGAGAATATTGGAGACTGCAATATACGCATAAACACACGAATACATATATGATTTATACATACCTCTATGTATGCGTATGTATATGTACGTACATGTGACTTTACACATTTCCATGAGAATATATACATATCATACATATCAAATTAAAATCTCGAAATCAGATTACATCGAACAATTCGCGTCTTAGCAATTCTAATTAGAGTCCTTCATGGCAACTAGCGAACAAAACATCAAAGTCGTATCGGCTAACTTCACGTATACAGTTCGTTTATTTTTGGGGTTATTGGTCTTTCTGATAGTTAATATCCTGTTTAGATAGAGGCCGCAATGTAAATGGATATCGAAAATAATTTCGTGTTTCATATGCATTTCACATTATCTCTAAGTAGATATGTTTATATTAAATTAATATAAAAATCATTTGGAATTTGTTGAAATTTAAACAATTCAATTTAAATGTACCAAACTTGTTCAAAAATATCTTGGTCTAGGCCAGTGATTCCCAAAGTGGTTACACTTTGATGTAAGTTTGGAAGCCTAGGGATCCAAAACAATTTTCAAGGGTTCACAAACAAAACTAGTGGGGTACATGGCTTCGTGTGTTAAGGCAAATTGGTGGAACTTCCCGTACCGTAATTAAAAATCTTGGTACGGAACCCCAAAATATTTACACAAAATGTGTTCACATTATTAAAAGCTCTATAAAATATCTGATAATTTGATGTATATATGTCCAATAAACATTTTTGACCGCCAAATGACAATTTTTTAACTTATTTTTATTGAGAGTCCATAACCGCTGGACCTGCCTATTCAAAAAGTTAATCAGTTCTTTATCTTGTCAATACAAGTAAAACGTTTTTTGAATTATTTGTTCGAGTTTTTTGAAATCGGACGCTCCGTTCTCTTAAAAACTGAGTTACCGTTTTTGGCACTTTTTGCCCCGTATCTTCGAAACGGATAGACTTGCCTTTGCCAAAAACTAATCAACACGTCTCATTATCAATACGAATCGAATGTTTTTTATATTATCCAAATCGGTTGATCGGTGTTCCCGAAATTGTATCCGCACACAAACACATACACACACATACAGACACACACACATACACATACGCGCATTCATTTTTTCTAAGGTATGCCAAAATGTTCAAAAACCTTTGAAACGTAAAAATATATAAAAAATTTCATTTTCGATTTTTTTGCGATTACTATAACTTACCCTACGGGAAGTTAAAAATCCCGGGTCCACAAAATAAAAATGCGGGTCCACGGTAGTGGATAGACCAAGTCAACATCTATTTACTATAGCTATAATAAAAGTCATATATAATATTTATAAATAGAACTAAAAAGTAAATAAAAATAATGTTTTTTTATATAACAACGCGTGTAAGTTGTTGCATTAGTAGGCATTCGATTTGTAGTCATTAATATGGTCGTAAAGACCATATTTGCTGACTATTGAAAGGCTTGGCTATGTTCTTTACGTTTTTGAGACTCTATGCGATATTTCAGTTATATTATCGAATTAAAAAGTGTTTAAGCTATCATTTATGTTCTATTAAGTTTATGTTTTCAATAATAATTTGAATAGGGCCGAACAGTCCTGGGGTCAGCAAATAGGGTCAGCGCCCGCACATGCCATTTTTTTTAGCCATATAACATATAACCATATTTCTTGAATGGTATTGAAAAAACTATAATATAAATTTTTTAAACGAATCTCGTGTTGGCGCCCCCTAAGGCGTGCGCCCGCATTTTTCGCATAAACCGCATTCAAGGTAGAACCGGACCTGAATTTGATTAATATATAATATATATTATATATTATACATATATTATTTTATGTGCATGCTGATTATCAATGTGCATGATGTTCAATTATGTCCAAACTAGATTTAAGAAAATATTTATAATAATTTCTGTAAAAAAATAATTTTACTTACCGTAAACTAAACTTAGTTGTTGGATTTAGTATGGGGCTATAAGGACACCTTCATTTTCAGGAATTATTTACCAATTTTGCAAAAATAAAAGACCGAAAAACTTGGTTCAGACCCCTTCCGGATAGAAAATTTGACCCAGAATAATATATTATACAATCTCTACTATATTTTTATTAGATCTCAAACATTTTTGTTTTGTGCTTTGATTCCTTTTTTTAAGGGTTTTAAATTTTTAATTTATTTTATAATATTTTATATAAAGAATATTTACGCTCGATATTAGTTTAGGTTTAATATTATTGTTAGTATATATGTAATACTCATAAAATAAATTTATTTTATTAAGAAGTAATCCTTCTTTGAGAGGTTATCTTTTGACTCTATCTCTGAAATGGCTAGATCTGCCTTTACCTAAAATTTGTGGAATAATTTAAATATAAAATAAAAATTTAATTTTTTTGATACGTCCTGTAGCTTTAAAAATATTGTCGCGCTTTGAATCTTATGAATTTTGCTTGTTAAATTCTATTAGACAAATCCTGATTCGTTTCTCAAAACCCCAAAACCAGACCAGGACCAGGAGCCTGGTCCGGTTATCTGCCCTGGTATAGAACATACTAATACTAATCACGATCACGAAGAATCAATTTTACATACAAACAATATAAACCCGATTGTAAAGTTTGTTAATTTAGGAAAATAGTTTTAATTGTACAGTACAGTACAATTTGTACTAACTAATTAGTAACATATAGTTTCACAATTATTTGTAGTTTAATACAAAGCATTATTATTTGAAGATCGATGTTTGCAATGGCTGCTACAGGGGCTGGTCTTATGTACATCCTAATTCCAAGAGATAAAAGGCAACTGTCCAGAAACAATGTCATAGTTATAACAGGGTGCGATTCCGGTTTAGGCCACGCCATGGTTCGACATCTTAGTATGCTGCCTTTAACAATAATAGCTACATTTCTGAATGTTCGATCTGAAGGGGCGCTTTTAATAAAAAGTATATTTGAGCAGAAGAATAGGCAAGCTGTTTGCCATTTGATTGAAATGGATATTGTTAAATCTAGTGATATAGCAGAGCTTGTACGATTTGTCACAGAAGTTCTTAAGAATAATCCGGGCTCAAGTGAGTATATAATGTTCAACTCTGTTTCTATTTGGTTAGACCACGAGATCTACAAATGATCAGAATAAAAATGGAATACTTAAATTAAAAAGCAGTTAATAAAATATTTTAAGCAAAGTCTATTAAATTTCAGAACTGACTGCCCTCGTAAATAATAGTGGCGTGATGGCTTTTGGCGAATTTGAATGGCAGACAGAGGCAATAATGCAACATCAAATTTCTGTAAACTTTCTAGGAACAGTTATGTTAACTCATAGTATGCTACCACTAATTCGACAAGACCAGGGCAGGATAGTAACAGTAACAAGCCATTGTGGAATCGAAACTTTACCAGGTGAATACGGGGTTCTATTTTATTTTTTAGGATTTACCCTTCGAAGTACGAGTATATTAATTTTTAGGACAACTCCTTAATATTTTAAGATAAATTATCTGAAGTAAAATGTATCCGTTTCTCTAATTAATCGGCATCGCAAGGATAGATATCCTTTCTTTCAGGTTTGGCTACAAAAAGCTTCCACGTCTATTTGCAATTATTTTCGTTTATGAATATGCATCTATTTTTTGTAATATGAAGTGAAAGTATCTTTGTAGCAGTTCTTGAAGAAAGACAACTCTAATCTCGAAAAAGCAATCCATTCCTTATAAAAGATACATAGAAATGTTTATATATCTACCAGTGTACAACTTTGCTCTCTCCTCTTTTTCAAGACATGTCTCAACGTCGAGCAAAAAACTTAATTATTGTTATTATTATTATTATTATTATTATATATATATATATATATATATATATTCCAGGTTTATCCATTTACGGTGCAACAAAGAAAGCCTTAGCAGGGTGGATGGATGCAATAAGAGTTGAACTGAAGCCATATGGAGTGAAAGTGGTGACGTTCATACCAGGTAAAATAGTGAAAAATATGCTAATTTGTTGAGTCCAAATCATTCCATATATTATTCAGTCAAGCTTCAACAGTTGACATATCGAAGAATTATATACGAAAAAATATGTGTGTCCAAAAACATAAATGTCCAAAATCTCAAAGCCTCACACATTTAGTTAGTAATATTTATTGTGCATATTCCAAAGTTATTATTTAATTTTAAAGTTCTTTTTAAATGTGCCAAAGCTTGGTAGCTTCTTATTATACGGCTTTTTACCAATAGTCTTACAGCTAGCAAACTATTCGGCTAACCTGTTTTCACAAAGCTAGAAATTTTTCAAATGATATTTTATTATCGGTCCATTGAGAAATTGCCATTCTGGCAGGAATATCGCGGTTGCGTCATCACCCCTTCAATTTTTGAAAATGTCAAAAAAAAATTTCATAACCTGCTCCCAAATGGCTCAAATTTTTTAGCTATTCAGAAAGTATATGCAAACAGCCAGAACATACATAAAAGTCACGACGCACAAGGGTATGGGCGCATAGCCATACATGATCGGCCCAACCTTGTAATTTAAATAATTTAGATGCCACTTTGAAGGTCTTCTTGAAAAAAATCCGATATACCAATTATCAATTTTGTATCTCACCTTTTGGCAGAGATATCATTGAAAATATGCCAATGAGGCCCCTTTTTCAAACTCACTTTCTGGCGTAACAATAATTATTGTTATATCTTTTAAAAGATATAGAAAAAGAAATTCATTCAGACCACATGATGTAGAACAATTGATGCCGAATAATCAATTATTACCTAAAAAAGATAAAATAATTTTCCAATTGATGATTCCTTATAATGAATTCATTGTCTTCCCAATAGGATCTTTTGTAATGAGCAGCAACATATCAGCTCGCCAAAATATGTTGGCCAACGAAATGAGGAGCGCGATGACTGCAGAGCAGATGGCCTTCTATGGAGATTATTTCGACAGATACAACAACTACCTGAGCGTTTTATCTGGGGATAAACCAGCTTGTTCTTTGAACGACCGAAATATTATATCAACTTGTGAAAAAGCTATGTTTGATTTGAATCCTAAAGCCGTTTATAAATGTGAACCCCCGCGATATACCTTATACTATACTATATTCCAATGGGCGCCGTATTGGATCAGGGATTACCTGGTCGTAAAATTCATGAACACCCCTACATATATACCAGTCAGCCAAGCAAACGATTTTCGTAATAAATATAATTTTGTAGTGTAGTTTTATTTGAGTTATACGTACGGTTATGACTAACGATAAATTCATTATCATTTATTTTATATAATTACATATGTAATACAGTTTCATATGATTTTAAGTAATTTTAATAAAATATTTACATAGCAATTTATTGTTTTAGTAGATATTATTTCATTTTGTTCCGCCATAATAAGTATTATATCCTTGTAAGGAATATTTTTCCAAAGAATTATACTAAAAAATAGTAAAAATATTCCAGTTACAAAAAGGCACTAAACTTTCCGAAGGAGAAGTACCGATTTGGTAGTTTTGTCGACGTGCTGAAATAAAGATCAAATGTGGAAAAAGTATGTGAGCCGTTTATTGAATATATCGTCAACGTTTTCTCAAAAACGACTGCACCGATTTCAAAAATTTAAGGCTCGAGTTCACCAGTTTACGCGACTATCGTCAAAGCAATTTCTTTATAATTAGCAGAAAATGCAAAATTTTCAATCCATATTAGTCAAAACTCTTGAACCGACATTGATAATTTAAAAACACAATAAACGATAGATATTATTTGGTAATCGGGGTAATTAGCCGCTTCTTTGTCTATTTTTTGTTTTTTTAACTAAAATTAACATAATTATTCAAATAAAATATTACAGGCCTATAAAAAATGGTTAAATTATAAACATACATTAGTCAGTTCAGGTTTCAAGCCAATCTCGAGATTTAACTTATAGATTCTACATCATGAGGTAGATACTTTCATCATCTAGAAGGGATAATTTAGATCTTGATAATATAGTATATCTTACTTAACTACCTAATTATATCCGATATCGCCAAGAATAATGTTTTCAGACTGTTTCTCGTCTGGCAGCCTAGGCCTGGCTCGTGCTCTTTCCAAATTACTTAAAAAAAAAATAATCAAAAATTCATACCCATACATCCATAAGTGTCAAAAAAATCAAAGCCATCAACGATTTTTGTTAAAATAATCGCTAGCTACAATTTTGACAGTAATATAGTGTAAATTTCTTTTTTAAGTATCATAATCAACAAAATTATATCAGTTTAATTATTTTTGTAAAAGTATACAATTCGCAAAATAACATAATGTTACTATAATTTTATCCCAACAATTTTGATCAAAAGTGAGTAGAAAAAGTTTACAAATGTCAGATTTTGATGCAATATTAAAATTTATTTTTTAATTAATTGTGAGTAATTATATATGAAAAACTAATTACAATAAATTAACGTATCGATAGTTGAAGTGTGAATGTATTTGAAAACAAAGAAGTAAATATTACTTTAAGAGTTTATTGCAACTAGATTTTTGATCGTTTCTTACAATAGAACAATTTAATATGTTATATTAATAAAATTCTTGTTATTAAAGTTTAGTTAATTTCATTTTATATTTTTATAGGAAACAAGTTTCAACATGATTATCAGCACCGTTTAGCTAATAATTCCTGCCAAAAATTAAATCAATTAAAAAATTAAAACCTAAAGAAATAAATATATATAAAATATGCACGCACCTTGTTATGCTTCTCAAACCATTTAAATGGCTTATGTCGATATGACATCCAATATACTCACGCAAAGCGACCATCATCTACTGATCGTTATGAAATATAAGCACAAATCACTTGCTGATGGATTCTAAACCGAGATGCCGCAATTGTTATCAAAGCGGAAGATGCAACTGCAATCGAACTTATCCTCCTCCAACCAAATTTGCTTCACCCGAAAATATATATACTAGGCATAAGAAAAGCATTGGGTATCCTTATACCCCTGCGATAAGAAACGAGCATTCCAGACAAAGAGTTCAAAGTTTATACGATACCCCTTGCGCTTCGGTAGTGTCAGTTGATCACATTCTGAAACCTATAAGACAGGCGGAAAGAGAAAAATGGTTACCGAAAATCGCTTTGACCAGCACCACTGGATTGTCTCTGGACGGACTATTGTGCGATTGCTGCTCTCCTAAAGGATGTAAATGTCCGCACCAATGTCCTACGTGCGGACAGAAAGTGGATGAAGATATTGATGTAAGACATTCACATTTTAATTTATTCTATTGAAACTAACATTATTTCATATCAGTATATTATTTTATTTATTAAGGATACTTGTGAATAATTATACTTTGCTGCGTATGTATTTATATGTACATTTTGTGATATATCATTTAAGATAATATTCTCACAATTATGCATTATGAATTATTACACGTGTATATGTAAGCATGTACATCAATTTCTTTACAGCTGAATAAGAAGAAGTCTTCGTTTGAAAAGCCGACACTGTGTATAGCTTGTAAGAGATGCCGATTAGGTCAGAAATGCTTCAGCCGAGTTATCCATCCGTGCTGCAGTCAAAAAGGTCGTCAATCTCAAACCATGTTGAAATCCCCATGCGCCACCAACAAGTCGCCTCCAACAACATCGAAACACTGCGATTGTCGCACAAAGATATCTGCATCACAGTGTCCCACGCCAGAGAATCTCCATTCTAAGCAAATGGAAATTACGGAAAACATACTGAAGATGCTCTTGGCGAAAAGAGATGAAAGTTTTTGTTTGCACAAAGCAAAAGAAAGTAGAAATCAGATGAACGAAAATCAGAGCAAGCGATTTGGAGCAGGCAGTGATAGACAGTTTGAAAGTGAGTCTGAGGAACTCATGACAACAAGCCCTGTTGTATCCAGTTCGACAGATGTGGTGGAAACTGAATCATCAAATAACGCTATAATAAGCGAAGAGGAGGATAATAAGGAAGTACTTAAAGGTCCTAAAAAGTCAATACAACGTTTGAAAAGTAACAGTAAAAGTAACAGTAAAAAGAGCTCGTCAGATGAATTCAAAGCTTTTAAAAAAGATTATGTCGTTCAAGACGTATGGGGAATGTCTACAGAAATGAGCAAAAGTAAATATGCTCAAATATCTACTTCAAAAAAATACATTTCACCACAAACCGGGCGCGTTTTTAACTTGAATAAACATCCACCAATACCTAAAATTGAGATATCTGATCATGTTATACCAAAACCTCTGAGTATCCATGACTTGCTGCTATTGAATCCTAGAAAGACCAATAAATCTAGCAACTTAAAAACAGCCAGTCCTTCTAGTTTCACAGACAAGATAATTAGTAGTGAATATATGGCATTGCGTGGAGGCACTGACAAAAGAAAACCAAAAGCTCAAAAAAATCCATCTGATAGATTTCGATTTCCAAATTTGAACTCGTTATTTTCAACGGGCGAAGTGGCTCCATTGAGAAAAGCAAAAAATAGTAGTTATAATTTGTCAGAAAAATCTTCTGATACTTCTGATGATGATATTTCAGATGATTTTTTAGAGAAGCAGGTGCAAGAAGTTTTGCAAAAAAAGAAAGCAAGAGCAGGAATTTTAGCTCAATGTGCAGGCAGCATCTCGAATAAATTGGCAAATTTTGAAGACATGCTGAGATCGCAACTTTCTAAAGATATTTTTGCTCCGACGATCTTACCTAACTCGCGTAGTACTGGTGGCCAAGATAACTTCTGTTCTCCAAACTGCAAAAGAAGCCAGGAAAGATGTGAGTGTTCTAGTAGTCCTCTTCCAAGATATATGAAAGATATTGATATGCCTTGTGCATCTTTCCAACAAAAACTTATAAATTTTGATGATATGATTAAAACAAAGCTATCAAATCTTATAGTAGGGCGTTTTCCTGATATGTGCGATATAGACACACCTTATTGTTCAACTAGAAGAATAAAAAGAGCAAATCATCTTAATTTACCTGATTTACGTTTACCATATGTAGGCTGTGCAACTAGATGTAGAAAATTTGATGATATCGTCAAATCAAAACTTTCATCTCTCATTTTGGGACGGATGCCGGAAGTCAAATTAACGTGCGATAATATCCATTGCGATGAATGTAATAATTCAATAACTCGAGCTAGTAGTATTCTCTATTCAAACACAGGGATATGTGAACCGTTAGATATAAGACGGCTGCCGTGTACCAATATACCGAGAGCTTTAATGAGATTTGACGATATAATAAAAGCCAAATTATCTTCTGCTATTGTAGGTACGTACATGAATCCGGATCAATACAATCAAGATCAAGGTCTATCACAATGTGTAAGCCCGAGGCGATTCTCTGCGGGAACGTCGCCAACTATACCAAGACAATGTGATTCCACGGAACCAGGAAGCCCATCAAAAACACCAGTTATACCATCTACTCCGAAGCCGACAGCTATACAACCTTCTTCTCCGCCCAAACAAACACAAAAGGACAGTAGCCCTTGCCCTTCTCAACCTACCAGTCCTCGCACTTTTACGCCAAAACCTTCTAATGTTCAACCACCGCCAATACAGTCAGCCTCTAGATCTTGGAATCAGCCAAAAGTGGTTTCTTCTAAGATATGGTTAGCTAAATTATCGCCACTTTCAACACCAATAACAGTTTTACCTATTCCGGTATCACAGTACGCTTCTCCCAGCATTCGACCTCCAACAGCCAGTCCACTCAGCAAAGTCAATTTTGACATGTTGACTATTCCTTGCGTACCGAGCATTTGTGATATGAGTACGTGCTATGATTTAAGGCGTAAGCGGCCTTGTTCGTCATTCACGTCTATATGCACAACCAAACCTGATCCGACTTTTGATTTAAGTTTAAAAAACTCAATTTCTAACAAACCAACATGTGTTCGCGAATTTCGTGGTCCCAAATTTGATTTTTCATGTGATTACAATAGAAAACGCTACAAGTCTATTAATAATAACAAGCCTGGTCCAAACTTTACCCTTCCCTGTCCCTTTTTACAATGCTGTGCTAACTGTTGCGATCGTCTGGACCGTCCTTCTACCGGCTGTAAATCACCGCCAAATGGAGCAAATCCTTATCTCGACCCAAATTGGACAGCTTCTTGCACTGATGTGCGCAACTGTTTGAGTTCAGCTAGTTCAACATGTTTCAAACGCAGTTCATTCGAGTTATGCGAAAAAAGCTCTCAA